ACAGGTGAGCGTCACTAGAGAGTCGGCGGAGCAGAGCGTCGTAGAGGGCAGGTGAAAGGGGTGTGGGATTGGGAGAGATCGGGAACGACCGCCTCGTCGGCTGGAAGTCCGAGATCTGCAAGTGTGGGGGCGGGGTTCCTCGAATCGCCGTTGAAGGTTTGCTCGAGACAGGGCGCGAGCTCCTGGAGTATCTCCGTAAGAAGATGTGTGTCGGCCAGGTTTCTCAGATTATTCGCCATGCAGAACGATCGGAACATGGTGTGCTCCATCTCGCCTGTTCGATGTGTGAGTTTCGAATGCATATGAAAGAGCTCATGTCACGCACTTGGCCGAAAGTTTTTGCTCGCACGTCGGAGCAGCCCTATAAACCGTTCGAACGGGAAGGACCAATACGCATGTGTGGGGCCAAAAAGCTCCAATACCTCTGCCAAGTGGAGGGCTAAGTGGTGGTTTGGAGTGAGGTCAATATCGGGAAAGAGTTCGCGCAGCCCCCGGATATACTTGAAAATGTGGAACTCATACGATGCAATGGCATCAGGATCAAGGCGTTTCGCTGTACCCCGCTTGACGGCCACCACGAGATCCAAGAAGTTAAGCAGCAGCAGTTTGCGACGCTCAGACTGAGAGGTGTCGATAAAGCTCCACAGGCGGATGAGGGTTATGGGGAGATTCACCAGGCAGAATGTTCGCCACTGATCAGCACTGAGGGAGCCGGCAGATGCGCTCCCGACTTCGGCCGGAGCGCGTCCCAGATAACTGGGCAACACGGTCTTGGCCATGTCGGATCTGATGCTCTGCAGCGTGTCCCGCCCCAGTGTGACACGCTTCTTGGGCGGTCGGGGATTCGGAGAGTTGTCTTGGGAGGTGGCAGCGAGTGGTACCGTACCCTCAGGCCTCTGACATGTTCGTAAGAAGTGTATTCATTGATAGGGCGCACACTCTCACTCACTTTTAGAATCGCCTCCGCGAGCTGCTGCTTTGTGAGGGTTCCGGGGGATCCCAATCCTTCGGCATCGTAAACCGCTCGCAAAAGCCGAAGGTTCAGTTTCCTCTTCAACGCAGCCGGCGTAGCGCTGGTAGCAACCTTGTTCCGCGCGAAGGAAAGCTCTTCTACGGTGACTGGATCAGGTTCGATGTCGGCGCCGGATTCATCTTCTGAGGTGATAGTGACGTCCATCCCGAAAATTCGACGACAATGCCGTTGAAGAAGCCCCAGAAACAGATTGTGCATAGTGTCGATAACGACATATCGAGTAGGTCGCCAGTACGGAAGATCAAGAAGGGTGGAATAGCGAATGCCAGAGATCTTGAACAGCTGTTCCCGACGGCGCTCGGACGGCGCCGCCTTCCACTCCTCGGCACATCGGCGGAAGGCATTGCAGTCCCGTCTCGGCCATGAAGCTTTGTCTAAGTTATTGATGGAGGGCTTGAGTAGTTGGCAAAAGGAACAGAACATCGCGGAGCTGTGAGAGGCCTGTCCACTGGTTTTCCTGGCGGCGGCGAGGTCACAGATAAGTGGGAACGCAGCACACTTGGTCAAGCGTCCTCGAGGTCGGCATGCAGTACGGGTGTAATGGACGCCTCGAGACCAGAAGACATTGAGCTCTTGCACAAGGGGTCTGAGAAAGTGATTGACTTGGTCCAAGGAAGGCGACTTCGGTCCGGGCATTACCCCGGCGAGGTATATGTTTTCGCGCTTGTAACGAATGTGGGGAGGGAGGTTCAGACAAACCATGAAGATAACCCCGGCCGAGTATGTAGCTCCTCCGTGCTTGTTTCCTCGCGGATTGAACCAGTCTACGAAGAGACTGAAAACATAGCGTCCCTCCGAGCCGTATTTCCGAAGGAAAGGCTTCCCGTCTGGTCCGAGGAATTGCAACATCTCGGGGGATTCTAGTATGTCCTCTACGAAGCCGGAAGGATTCGGCCGAGCGTTGTTCTGAGATGCGTCGAGGAATCTCTCAATCTCGGGTCGCAAGAGCATACGTCCCAGCCAGGAGACAAGACTTTGGTGAGAGTAGGTGCGAATAGGACGGGATTCAGCTCCATGCCTTAGAAGCTTGGAGCCGCACGGAGCGCTCGTTTGCGTCGCTTGATAGGAACAGTGGTCTGGGTATTGAACGGGAGAGCGTCCAGGATGTCGATCGTGGGCCGGAATATAGCTCGGTAGTATTCCCACCAGGTCCGGAGGCAGCACCGACTCATCAGCCTCCGCGCTGTGATAGGCTGGTTCATCGCCTCGAGGGGGGTGGAGTGCGAAGCATGTCGGACAGCATGCGTAGAGGGTGTATTCCGGATCAAGGTGAAAGTGTTTACGGGCCGTCGCGAGGTCGATAGGCAAGCTGGCCAATGTCCTGTCCACATGTGGGGCGCGCAATTGTTGTCCATTCTGGCCGCTGGTAAGCCTGATGATGATCCTGATAGTACGTAGGACGAGATTGCATCCGGGAAACGATAAATGGTGTATGAGGTTCAGGACCACAACGAGAAACACCGCAACGCCGACAACCGGGAGAGATTGGAACGCGGGTTCGCGAAAGTGATCTGGAGAATGGAGTAATGGTTAGTCGGTGAAGCGTGGCCAGTTTCAGGATATACTCACTGGTGTCATAAGAAAAGGGCTGAGTACCTGATTGCCGTCCAGGGGCTGGGTGCGTAAGGAGATATTGTTGTCTTGTCCACTCCTCCATCCTAAGCTGTTCCATGCGTCGAAGCTCTAAGCTAAGGAGGTGGGAGAGGGATAGCAGATGTTGAGGACGACTGCCGGCATGCCCACGAAGATATTGCGAGACATCGTCGTAGTGATATTGCAAGTAGGAGATGTGCATCAACGTCTCTGCATTCACGGGGTCGTCCCTGAACAGGCCCGAAGGACCCTCGTCCCAAGCAGCATAGCCACAGGAGCCTCCGTACATTGAGGTGGGAGCAGTCGGAGGGAAGAGAAAGCGTAGGGATGAGGAAAGTCTGTAACCGGCGACCCGTTTTGTGACCTCCGCTAGGCTAGGAGGGCAGAACGTGCTTGGGTAAGAGCGATACTCGACTGCATCAACGTCGAAAGCGGTGCCGAGGTAAGTGGCGGGAGAATTGATGGACCTAAAGAGGGGATTGTCGTCCGGGACGTTGCGGTTGTGTAGCGTTTCGAGTATCATGGCCCTTTGAAAAGCCTCCGACACCTGTACGGACGACATGGGCCCAGGTACACCCCGTAACATGTCTTTCGCCTGCTGGTCCCTTTGGTGCTGATGAAACGCAGAACGGCCTTGCGTCGCACCCACGACGTTCTTCCCGTCATTCGTGCATCGGTCGCAAAAGCATTGACGCATGAAGACTTAGTTCTGTACCGAGCGAAAGCTGTTCAGCAGGTGCACAGGATGATGAATAGCAAATTACCTTGGGGTTATGAGCTCGGAAGGATTTAATTTTGATCTCGTCTTCGAGGGTGTTGGGTTGAAGACTTGGCGGCGAGAGCAAGACACGAGCGAGGTCAGGACCTGTTATATAAGTCGACTGCGAGGACTTACATCAACACGATTTCCCGAGCGCAGTATGGGACAATAGACCTAATCGATCGACCCCTGACGCACGTCTTTTGTCCATTTGGCGGCCACTGAAGTTTCCGCCACATGCTCCCACGTTGATTTGAAGGGGCGCACCGACATCGCGTAGCGCGATGCGATGCTTATGTCGACAGTGCGCGGAACCGCAAGCAAGTTGCAAAAACTGCCATCGGAGCTGGCTCTATGCAAACAGTAAATCGATATTCACTTGCAGTAGCTAGGGTAATTAGACATGTCCATTGCTGCTTTGATCGGCGGGGGAGACCGAACTACGCCTCAAATTCGCATCCCCTTTGCGAGTCACGGGCTTTCTCAAGCGCACGGGAGTAGACTGAACCGCACCTGGTCGATAAAGGTTCAGTGCCACGCTGTATGAAGGGAAAAGAGAGGGCACCGATTTGTTGCAGAGGTCGCAGTTGCTACTTGGCCATTTACTTGAAGCGACGGACTTCTGAGCCTTACAGTCCGCGCAACGAGATACTCCAACAGGCGGCGCTTTGTCGGCGGGATTGACGTTCGTAAAGAAATCGCTGCGAGCCTTTGTTACAATGAACTCTGGACCTTGCCTCACCGCCTTCAGGCCACACCTGCGCCGATCGACGATGAGCTCGCTGATCTTCGCAGGAAATTGACGTACTCACGAATCACAGATCTTCTCGCCTCCGGGTCCATGTCCCGATATCAACGTAGTCCTTCCCTTGCAATGCCGACATCGATATTCCCCATCCGGCGTCCACGAGAGCGTCGGAGTACTGGCAACGGGGGATTGCTCCAGGAGCAGAGATTCTCCGTTCAGCTGATCTAGACAGATGTAAGGTGACGAGGTAATTGTGGGAGTAGCTGGGGAGCTACCGGAGCTATCAGCGACCGTCGTCCGCGATGCAGGCCGCAGATCGATTTGAGGCGCAATACGGGTGCATACGAACAT